TTGAGAAATGGGATATTGGAGGCATATTCTGGAATTTTCCAAGGTTTTAAAAATTCATCCAAAACCCAGCTCTTGATTCCTTATGCACCCCACATCCTTCAGTTCTTGGATAGCATCTACATGGAAAAAGACATGTAAGAAATATAAAGCATATTCTTTTTTTTTTTTCATATATATTCTTATATTTGTATGTTTTAGTGATGTCAGTGTCTTTTATGATGCAGGGATGAAGTGGTGATGAAAACTGCAATTGGGGTCCTTGGAGATTTAGCTGATACACTTGGAAGTAATGCAGGTTCTTTGATACAGCAGTCATTGTCAAGCAAAGAATTTTTAAATGAATGTTTGACCTCTGAAGACCATTTGATTAAAGAATCTGCTGAGTGGGCCAAGTTGGCCATCAATCGTGCGATATCTGTTTGAGGTTCATCTGAATTAGCACGTTCTATATCATCTTAAAATACCTGCATGCATTTGGGTGTGTCGGGGTGGGTCTGGGATCGCATGTGTCAAGTCATCGCATTCAGGCAACAGAAGCTATCAGTCCGACAGTCTTCAAGTTGTCACTAACTCTTGCATCATCACCAATGCATCACTGACTTTTGCATGAGCATCAAGTCTGGTTCAGATAAGAGGAAGAAGGGAGAGATGAGTTTGCAAATGTGGGTGGAGTCTTCATGCAGAGTTGTCGGCTTCATGGTTGAGTGGAGGTAGCTTTTCATGGGTTAACACTGATCAGGCACCACTGGAGTCATATGTTGAGTCTTGATCATCGGAAGACAAACCCATTATGTCCTAAAGATCGCTCTCTCAAACTGGTTGTGGGTTATCGGCGTGGATGAATTCACTGGGCTATACCATTTTTCTTCAGCACCACCCAAGTGCTTTGTCAAGGGACTTGTTCTTCCTTTTCATCAAATTTACCCCCTGAATCTGTTGAGTATCACTGGGCTTTTTTTCATCCATATTTTTTCCCTCCATACTTGTGTCCTTGGGTTGGGGTCTTTGGGGATTACTGACACGGGGTTGGGATTTCTTTTTTTGGGGACAGGGTTGGGATGATTACATTCTGCTAGCATCATGCATTTCCTTTTTTTTTTTTTCCTTTTTTTGTCTGTAGTTTGTCTCAGGTGGAAAAAAAAAATCATGTTTTTACGGAATCGTCAACTGTGCTTTGACATCATTTTATTCTTGCGGGCTTTGTTTTGCTTGTGAATCGTGGATGTAGTCAGATCTTGGTTAACGTACCTACATAGTCATGTCTAAAATCGTCATATGTGCTGACGGTATTAAAAGAACCAACAGAAGAACAGAAGTGTGGTTTGCTGTTTCGCTTTTCGGAAGCCAGTTATCTTCTCTGGCTCGGTCTTTGTTATCTTTTTCTTGCTCATATAAAAATGTGTATTTTTGTACGTTGAGCAATTATCTTGTTTGCGTCTGTCATCCTTTTTCTCGTAGTATACATGGTTGAGTGAGTCGTGAGTGAGCAATCATCATTGCTGTTGGCCAGGGCTGTTTACCCGTATCATTTTATTAAGATGTGTATGGGGTACAAAGAACCTAGCCCACAGAAGTGTTTTATATAAACGGCTAATACGCTTATACTGCAGAAGTGCACATTGTGGGAATTCTAGTCCATGCGAGGAATTTGTTGAGTTTGTTTTGGCATTAGTATGCTGTATGCAGCTGGATGGTTTACATGGTATCACGAGGTTGATTTTTCAGGTATACTTTTTATTGTAATCGCTAGGAACGATTTGAACCGTTTTGATAAAATCAACAGTTAGAAATGATTACTTCAGAAAACGTTACTTCTGCGATCTTTAATATAAGACTTATTTAAATAATTTAATTAGATTAAAGAAGTTAGGTAAGTTAATGTATTATAAGAAATATGATATTTTTTTTGAAACATTATCTCTCTTAATATCCTCCTTCTCTCACTTATTTAATTATGGTTGAGAGAGTATCTATAAGGATAATTTACAAAAGATTAACACATTTGAGAAATGTTTTATATTTAGGTTTAAAATTAATTTAACAATTAGGTTGTATATTAAGGACTGGAGGAGTATATAATTTTCATTTCATGAGATCAGTAGTCCCAAATCTGGCAAAATCTCTGCCTATTGAGAATTTAGCAAAGCTCGAGAAGTCTTGGCCAATCTTGAATCGGGCTATTTAGAAACAGAAGCAAACACTATGTATTGGAGGGTATATTTAACCAATTTACAAAAATTAGGAATTACTAACAGGTTGGGCCTAACGGAATGTGTCAGTCTCTCACGGTTAGTGTCTGATAATGGAATTGTTTTTAATAAGAAGATAACTGTTAGTAAAAAAAATAGTTTGGGATTTATTTCATATTTTTAGTAATTTTTCATCACTTACATTTTCACTCTATCATCACTTCTACTCGCACAATTCCGTCACTCTCACTACATTCTTTGGTCTCAATATTTGACATCGCTCTCGAGTGAGATGCGACTGCCGTAACCCAACTTTTTATCCGGTGGCCGATGATCAGAACAATTATTATAAATTATGGCAATTTGATGGGTCATTGACACGTCAAGCAAGTGTGGAATGCAAAGCAAACAATGGATCATTCCTTTTGTTTATAGCCTATTGGTGTTCATTTATAAAATGTTAATAGCTTATTAATGAAGACAGAATTATTTCTATTTTTAAAACTTTGATCCCATTTAGCAGTGGTTTGGATTTTCAGGAGATTCGACATTCTTATCCTCACAACTTTCATTGTATCTCTTTATTTTTAAAACTAGAGGGACAGATTATAACTGTTATAATTGGGATCAAACTCACGGCTTTTTATTTATAAAAAAGCTTTCATGTCACTAAACTACAAGGTTGTTGGATTTTATTTTCGTTTTACTTTATCTTTCTTTGTCTTTGACCCTCTTACAATTACACCATTCATTGGAAGCTACACAAACTAATGGGGAATTCTCAGTAAGCATCCAAAATGAATAGTATGACCATTTTGTTTCACGTGAGGTTATATATGAATGAAGTATATAAGAATTTCTCCAGAAGTTTCAGTGTCACACAAGTTTTGTTTTGTTGGAAGGATAAGAATCCCTCAAGTTGCATTAATCTGTTCAATCCAACTAAAGAGATGTGCACCACCACCACTACTAACTTCACTTGATTTCAAACGAGCCATTTAAAACCAAGCTTCTGATATGCAAGTGAAGGCCCCCCGTTGTAAAATAAAACATTCAAATTCAACTTTACAAAGTGGCCTTAGTGTGCATCTCAGGTTATACTCAAATTTGTGAGAAAGGTTTTATTATGCTTTAGTGAATGAATTAAGATATGTGTAAGTTGGTTTATTTATTCTATTCATTTTCTTTTCAAAGTCTATTTGATTTGCAATTAGGAAGGCTCCTATATTCCTCTCTATATATATTTAATTATATCAAAACCACCCGTCATGCCTTTTGCGTCTATTATTAGGACACTTGTTAAGAACTTTCAGATAATGCAACAAAAATGTGTGCCTGTACTTGAAAATATCTGCAAAATAATCAGTTGTTTTGTACTTGTAAATCTAGAAAGAACTTTTGGCTCAAGATCAAGCATACAACTTTATGATGGGAGATACGAAGTGCACCAAATGGCAAGTCAAATTAAAAGTGACTAAATTAACCAGGCCATTAAGACCATAATTACTCTCATTGATATTTATCAAGTTAAAAATTATCAATGTAAATTTATGATTAAACTATTAATGAACAATTAATGCTGTCTCCTTTCCCTTTTTTCATTTGTTAGTGCATCCACCATCAACATTCCACAATTAAATGACATTTCCCCCCCTTTATTCCTTTCTTTTTTTTTTGGTGTTTGTTGCTCTTTCTCTTCATATGATCATTTTATTCTGTAGCCCACTTTCTGTGTATGTCTCAATCCATTGACTGCTGTGAAAGTGACCAAAGGCAAAATAAGAGGATCAAAAGGCATCTTTCTGCCAAAGTGGTGTTTGGTACCACGGAAAATTTGAATTCTGGGGGAGAACATTTTGGGAGCTTCTTCCACTAACCTATTGTGGGATCTCATTTGAAAGCCAATAACAATTTGCAATTTGCCCACTCCATTAATTTCTCATAGACCATGCATTTTTTTTCTCCCAGTTGATTGCCACTGCTGAGATAAAATAAGCAGAGAAAGCGAAGATTGAGAGAAAAAATCATGGCTTTATTTTCTTGGTTTATTAGACAACCATTTTGTTAATTTGTGATTTGATGAATAATAATAGATGATTTTAGTTTTATACTCATCTGGTCTTAAATATAACACCTATTTCGTAGTGTAAATTATACTATAAAATAGGTTTTATATTTAGGACAGAAGGAATATAATATATTGATTGCTAATGATCTGTTTTATATTTTAATTTCTTCATCTACAGACACAAACAAATAACAGAGTCTTTAAAAACTTCAAAAAATTGAATTGAAAATATGTCTATGTATTAAGGTCAAGATTAAAACATATTGTTTACACGTGAAACCACAAGTAGCCACTAATCTTGAGTCAAATGAAAGAGATTCAGTTATAATCTATCCAACCAATCTAAACAATAATAGTTTAGGTGTAAATTAGGCAAGCACATTGTATTATAGTTACTGCTAGTGAAAGTTGAAAAGTAGATTGACTTAGGAAAAGGTAGGCAAAGCCAAAAGTGGCTTCATTTTCAGTTTTGATTTGAGCCATGCAATGCAAGGAAAATGCCAGGAGTGTCCACATGCACAAAACTTCTTGTTTGCACATATTTTTAGTGCAACAAATGTATAAAATATTGAAGTTGACTTCAGTAAGGGCTTGTGGGTTAAATTCTGTATATGAAAAGTTTATGTATAAAATTCATAATGCATTTCACCATCATTCTGGTGATATTGGGTGGCGTGCTCCACCACAAGAAAAGACCTCCCTACCCATATCTGTGACTCTCTTTCTTTCTTGTTTAAGTATAAAAAGGGCACAAAGGCCTTGCCTTTCTTGTAAGGTAACAAGCAGAGTTGAAGCAGCCATGGCTCTAAAGATCAAGACTTTTCTTTTGGCTCTTCTCTTGCTTTTCTTGCCCTTTACTTCAGGTAAGTTATATAACTGTTTAAATATCTGTGCTGCTATTTTAGTGAGTTTTTTTATTAGTTTATTAAAAGTGTCTAGTCTTTAGTGAGTAGAATCTGCAGATGTATTTGTACTGACAGAAATAATTTCTGTTTTAAGGTTTTGTTGAAGGCTTCAGGGAAAACATGCATCCTTCAGCTGGTCACTTACTTTACAGGGTATCATCTCGGCCTTCAGCAATATGATGCTAATAAGTTGCAAAAGTATTCCTGTGTTAACTAAAAGCCAGAATACTTGAGAATTGAGATATATATAAATGGAACAGATGTGCTCTGGATTGATGAAGTTTCTTGGTTTTGAAATTAAAATTTTGAAGTAATCCGTAAGCCCAAATTTTAATTTTTAGACTAACCTATTTTAACTAACCGTATTTTTAATCATCTGAGTACAGGATGGTATGAAGATGAAGTCAAGGAAACTGTTTGGGCATGCATATTTGCTGGATTATGGGGAAGGAGGGGCCAGCGGAAAGCATAGGAAGCCTGGCAAGAGCCCTTGACCATCTTTGTCCTAATCATATAATCATATAATCATATCATATCATATATATATATATATATATATATAAAATAAGCATTTTTCCAACTGTCTTTCTCATGTTTGAGGAGACAAGTGCATGGTACAAGATATAGATGAGTTTCTTGATGTGTTTGTACTGAGGCTATACAGTATGTACACAAGTCGCTGCTTATGTATGAGCCCCAAGAGAAGTAAGAATAAAGTCTTACCTTGTATTCTGTAACTCAGGTAAACTCAAGAATTGCTGATGTTCTGTTTCAATTTTTCCGATATACTATCACGTCTGTCATTTGAAGAACTCTAACAAAGAGAGAAAGGAAGGAAGAAAATTGCATGGCAATGGTACCAAATTGCAGGATGCCCAAAAACATTATTTCTTCGTTCATTAATGATAATTAATATGTATATATATTTATAAGATATAAGATTAAACAGGTTTATAAAAAATAATTGAGGGATGTTAAAGTCATATTATTGTTGAGATCTACTCTGACAGGTATAATCATACTCTCCAATTTGAGCCAGAAGCAGAATGAATTCACTTGTCCTGAAACTATGGTTTGGAACCATGGTTTCGGGCTTTCGGCCCAAACCATGGTTTCATATTATTGGCCCAAAATTGATGCTGTTTGGGTGACATCTCACCCAAACCATGGTTTTACCTCCCAAACCATGGTTTTGAGAGGCACCCAAATAGGCCCTAAGAATTTGTCTTAGGGCCTATTTGGGTGCCTCTCAAAACCATGGTTTGGGAGGTAAAACCATGGTTTGGGTGAGATGTCACCCAAACAGCATCAATTTTGGGCCAATAATATGAAACCATGGTTTGGGCCGAAAGCCCGAAACCATGGTTCCAAAACCATAGTTTCAGGACAAGTGAATTCATTCTGCTTCTGGCTCAAATTGGAGAGTATGATTATACCTGTCAGAGTAGATCTCAACAATAATATGACTTTAACATCCCTCAATTATTTTTTTATAAACCTGTTTAATCTTATATCTTATAAATATATATACATATTAATTATTTATTAATTACATTATTTTATGTATTATTAATTATGTTGGTAAAAATATATTATTAATAATTTTATTCCTTCAAATTAAAATATATTATAAAATCTATCTTTTATGTAATTATTATATTAATTTATGCTTTTTTAGTAATTTGTATATATAAAAAGTGCTTATGATAATAACTATCCAAATATTCTCACTTCTCATAATCACTTTTTCACAAAATTTATTCTCCAGAAGCTATTCTCTAAACTATGGTTTCGTTTCATCCAAACACCCCCTTAAAATTAAATGAGGCATAGGAAGAATCGATCAAATCCAATCAAAATGGGTTTTGAGTTCCCCCAGCCTCTGAAGTCTCATGATTCACGACAGTCAATCTAGTAGTAATTAAATCTACCAGTACTATATCCGGTTCTTAATATAAGAGTTAGTTTGACTTTTAATTTGATCTTAAATATAAGACCTTAATTCACTTTATCTCTCATATTTATTCACATTTTTTAAAATAGTCCTTGTAGTAGTTACACATGTTAAAAGTTTTATCAAATGGTAGTTCTAACTAATATATATATATGATTAGCAAAGGCATTCTAAAAAAAACAACACCTAATTATTATAAATAACTAACTTAACTAATTTTTTAATCTATTTAAATTAGTTAAATAGCTCTTATATTAAAGACACAAGGTAGTAATTATTAGCCTCTTAATCTTGATCTACGTTGTCTTCGTTAGCTACCTCTACGAGACAATTTAGCTTTTAACAGCTTATTACTCTGGCTCTGGCAGTAATCATCCTCACAAGTAGTGAACAATCAGTTTACGCCAATGGGCACATAAATGGTTTATACGGGCAATTTAATAACTCAATTTATTTTATTTTAAACCACATGGGTGTTAATAACTAAATTTTTGAAGAACATAAATAAGGATATGACAGAAGATTTCTAAAAAACTAGATGATTTGTCTCATATTATGCACAGAAATATGTTGCAGTGCTCACGACTATATTTCATTATAGATTTTATATTTCATATTAATATTTACTTCACAAAACAAGCAAATTTTTGGCAGCAAGAAGTGGAAGTTAACGTCTGTTTATATTCTTGACTCGTATATTTCGCCAACTCACAAAGAATACTAAGATGAAAACAGAATTCCTTGTAACACTATCAAAGATGGCAAAAAGCCACTCAAAAGGCAACACGAGATAGCTGTGAAAAGGCCATGTTCCACATTGTTTGACCCACAGCAATTGATCTGCGTCACTGAGTTCAAGAGGGTAAACGAATTTCTGAAGCAGATTCTGCTTAACCAAATGTTTTTATGCATCAAACCATACTCAGATGATGTATACTAAATTTTATTTCCACAATAACACCTTTGCTTGTCATGTGTTGTGTACAAACTAAAGCAGCTAACATACATGGACACCGAGTGTTCCAAGTGAAAAACATGAATATTAATATCACAGTGCAAAATTGCAACTGAGCTTATGTAAATTCTTCCTTCAAATAATCAGGTCCAGGTTTGAAGGGATCGGTCTCGGCATATGCATCTGGCCGGTAAAACCCTGCATCGTTCACTCGGTTGCTTAAAACATGAAGAATGGCCTTTTTTGTATCACCATACTCATCCCTGTTGCTCTCAACATAAGCAGTGGCCTCAGCTGCCACCTCATTCACAAAATCGAACCTGTTATCTTCTGAAAGTAACAGCTTCTCTATATCCATTGTCAAGAGCTTTCCTGTCTCCTTTACAATCCTCACCTGCTCCTCAAGGAAAGGAACGCGCTCCATTCTAGCCTCCAGAAATTCATCCTTCTTCATCTGCAACAAAGTGAATATATGTTTAAGCATCTCAGGCGCAGTCACACTAGATATTAGAAGGCTTTGCTCCTTGAGTTATGACTACCACAATTCATCAGCATAGTCACTTTTTGTTTATTCAATAATGATACTGAAGTAATGATTAGAAAACAAAAATGAAATAAGGAAATGCATTGTGAAATCTCGACGTGTATAGTAGACCTCTTTATTGCATGCATCAACAACCATAAAAAATGGAGTATCTACTGGAAACTTCTGAACTCTGAACATAATATCATGATATGCATAATCAAATCATGACCCATGCACAACTGAAATTTCCAGATTGTTAAACTCCGTTGTTCCAGACTACATTCGGATCCGGCAACCCTATAAATATCCAGGTCTATGATAGTACAACAAAGGTCTATAACCCATATTTCCCCAACAAATGTTTCATATTTGTATATGCTCATCAATTTATACAATTTCTACTTTTCTTTCAATTGTGACGTCAGTAATCTGCGGCCAAATTGATTCGCAGTTATCACGGTTTAAAAATTATAAACTTTCTCTACTTGACATCTCAAAATGACATCGTGATATCACTGTTTAAAATTATGAACTTTCTCTACTTGACATCTCAAAATGACATCGTAACCTCAAACATGACCAAGGCAGTAAACTTCAGATGATAGAATGTTTCAGTTACCATCTTTCATAATTCCATCAAGTGCAAACAAAGCCGGCAAATTTTTAGTACAAGACTGTTCCGTTGACTCTTCTAATCATGTTGCCTCGCAATAACCGCCTCTTGGATGAAGCTCATTTCCCCAAGAGAGATGTGAAAAAGGAAAATTCTCACCCAGCGATGCCATGCACCTTACAGCCAAAAAAAAAATCAAATACTACAATCTTTTGACCCTCCCAAGTATAACTATCCTCGGCCATGCACTTTCGTAAATGATAGTCACAATACACTTTCGTCTTCTTTACAGCCAGGATAACGGATATGATCCACAGAAACGTCTGTGCTTTACCATGGTTACTACAAATAATTTTTTTCCTGATTATGCAGCATCTCCTCAACGCAAACACACATGCATGGCAAAACATTTCTTTCAATTTGGGCATAATAACAAGCGCGTAAACATCAAGAATATCAGGGATCTTCGAAAGTCAAGATTGTAGAGAAAAACACATAGGGCATGTGACAATACCAATTTCCTTCGCCTCCAGACTCGCCGACCCTGCCCCCCCTTTCGCATCTGAGGCAGCAGCTGTAAACAATTGGGTATACATCTTCAATTTGGGGCCAACAGAAGACTTGAAGAACTCAAATTTTTACCTGTGAGCTGACTGAGAAGTTCTGACTCCACGAATTTGCAGCCCTCAACCATATCTGCGGCCAATGAAGGAAAGAATATAGTAAACTCAGCGAGCTAAAAATTTTCTCGTGATTGCTCGTATAAAAGAAAATCGATACATAAGGAAGCAGATAATCAAATTCATGGAGGATTTCCAAGGCATATAAATAAAAGAATGAACAAAATTCACTTCATAAAGATTCTCAACATTTTCGCGGAAGCCAAACAGAGACATGCTTAAGGAAAAAGAGTATTACAGGTGAAGTTGAGGATAGAGTCACTGGGTTGAAGCGAATCGCCATGACTGCTTTACCCGTGCTCGTGCTTCACTGTTCTCCTATCTTCCCCGTCTCCTCTTCTATCTTTGCCTTCTTTCCGGCATTTTACTTCAATTGCAGTGTCTACATTATTCAAATTATTAGGGAAAAAAATGATAAATTAAATTTCAAAATTATTATTTCATAAATTGATGTAAGTATTTTTCTCATTAAAATTTAAATTTGGCATTTCTTGCTATTTTTTTATTTTCCATGGCTGAATTGTTTTTGATAATTTTCTACGTGATATTTAGAAGTTGAGCTAAAAGTTTAAAATAATAATGTAACCTTATGGGAAAACGGTGTTTTGCTGTAGACTGTACAATAGCATAGTACTTCTCCAAAAATTAAAGAACAATTTCTATATTTAAAAGGTGTTTGAATGGAAGCTAAACTATAATTTTAAAAGTGTTTTTACAGTATACGAAATAAATACGTGAAGAAATATGTCTCATTTTGCATAAAAGTATTTTTTCATCTTGCCAAACACCCCATAAATTACAAGTGGTATTAGATAATAGGTTGGTCTAATACTGTAACAATATGTGGATTAATCCGTAAAAAGCAAACATGCCCCCTTTCTTTCTTGTTAGTTTTTTTTTCCCCTTTTGGAATGACCTTCTTGTAAGTTTCTAAGACCAAAGATTGACAAGACTGTACATTGCTTAACGCAATAATTTGCAATGGTTTGAACTGTCTCTTATTACCCTGTTGGGATACGCCTTCAGTCTGTGATGACTGATGAGAAGTTCATATCGTGTTTCCCTGTTCACAAGCGAAATCAGAAAGACAACCTCAAGCTTTATATTATACCCATTATGAGATCTCTTTTTAGAACCCAACACTGCTAAAGAGTCAACAGGCAATGCGTTGAAAATAATCTACTTCTTTCATCTCTTGTCTTATTTTGAGATCAATTAACTAATTTAAAAAAATTAAAAAAATTAAAAAAATTATTTTAAAATATTATATTTATTTTTTTCAAACTAATTTGCTTGGTTTATATACTTATATGCAATATATGTTATGATTAAGTGCTCTTTAAGTTTTTTTTAAATTAATCAACTGCATTTTATGTTGAGGATCGGAGGTAGTATTTTACAACCTCAAAATTATTCCCTTTTCTGATCCAAGGCACTTTTAGGCCTTATGATATTATATCCATATATTTTGCTCGTGTACTTCTTTCAACATGGTATTCACTATTCAGAGACCAGCACCTAGTTACACTGTGATAATGTCATAATGGTGTTGGGAAGGACGTTGGTATATTGGATTTTGGAAGCGAGTCCTTAGTTTTATCCAATTTGAGGATGTTATATCTAACCAGTTCTTTGTTGACCTCTTGTTTATGTCGTGGTCTCTCTGACTTATTTGGCAACACCTTCAGTTTATAATCATAAATTGACACTATCTAATGTTGATTTGAAGGGGGGAAAAAAACTTCCTTTTATATCATGCACTTGTTTTGGGCCTCTCTTTATGCATCTAATGCTGTTTCTATATCATGCACTTGTTTTGGGCCTCTCTTTGAAAAAATGATATGCGTTACCAATAGGGATTAGGTCTAGTAGAAGGGGTTAGTCCCTCACAACGTGACGAATCAAGGTTTAAATATTTGTTGGGAGACGTGCCCACATTTAGTATCCGCAGTTTCTTGAATAGAATTGCCTCTAATAAAAGGATACCTATGCTTTAGCAAAAAAAAAGCAAAAAAAAAAGGTATGTGTTCAATAATTCTTAAAACTGAGACGTTTTAATTAATCTGCAAGTGTTTTTAGGTTTAATCTCTTCTTTCGTTACGTAAAATAATGTACTTCATGTTACCATGAGAAATATTCATTGAAAAAAGAGGTCATTTTCAGAAGTAATTCCATAAGTATCGGTAAATCTTTCTAAAACTGCATATACACTGTATAGACACCGTCTTCTTTTTTCGATTACATAGACACCGTCTTCTAATTTAATAAAAAGCTTTGCTTTAACTTTAAATATAAGATCTCCATTTTAAAAAAATATATGATCTCAATTTTTTTTATTTTATAACTTTTTTTTAAACCCGCATGTTAAGAAGATTTTAAAGTAATACTACATCTGATTCTTAATACAAGAACTAATTGATCAATTTGAGTAAATTAATAAAATTAGTTAGATTAGTTATTTGTAATAAATAAGTTTTATCTTTTCTAAAATACCCTTATTAATCAAATGTCATTTGATAAAATATTTAACATATGTAGTTACTACAAGGATTACCTTAAAAAAATGTGTAAATATGAGAGATAATATAAATTAGGATTTTATATCTAGGACCAAATGAAAAATCTAACTAACTCTTATATTAAGAATCAGATGTAATATCTAATACAAATTATTAAAATGAGTATCTTTTAAAAAAACTATATTTACTATAAATAATTAATTTAATTAATATTTTAATGTTTATAAATTAATTATTTAATTTTTATATCTAATCTTGGACGGAGAAAATGATAATGCATCCCCTGTGGCGAAAAAATGAAAAAAAAAGGAAAAGAAAAAAATATACAAATTTAACAAATAGAAAAAGGGGGGAAAAAGCATCGAAACAGAAGCCCGAAGGGTGACTCATGACTTGGCATACAAGCAGCTAAGCATATAGCGCCACGAAGGTGTCGCCGTCAGTCCCCACCTTCCAAGTTTTATCTTCACTCTTTCCCCAGCAATAATAAGCGATGGCAGAAAAATGTAAAAATTGGAATTTTAATATCAGTCTATTACAAAGGACGCGAAATAGGATTAAATATCAAGAAAAAGAAAAAAAAAATTTAATGGGAGGAGAGATTGACGGAGCAATGATAACGTTTGCAAGTTACAAATCGAAGGAAAGACAAGCCGGTTATGGCAGATCACACATGATCATCGCGTCTGGGAATTTCTCTTGGGGTAAGAAGATCCCAGAAATGGAAATATTCCCCCAATTCTAGATTCCACTACTACTTTTCAGATCTTAACGACCCTGATGCCTTGCCAAATTCTGAAATAGAAAGAAACCGTCTGCCTCAGTACGACTTCTCTCTCTGTTTCTTCACTTCGTTTCTAAAAATAACCTTGCCTCTTTGTGATCTGACCTTGTGTAACGTGTCTGTTGACGTGTGATAACTTCCCCCATATGTCTATATATTAGTTGAGTCGTGGTGCTTCTGTGAGCCTTTCGAATTTTGCGCTCTTTGCATTCTTGGTCTGGGTTTGTAAATTTTGGGTTTGGTAATTTGGGTGCCTTTGTTTGGTATTATTCATGTAATTGGCTGGGAAAATCGTTTGAGTTAACCTATCTGAGATGTTTCCTCTCATCCGGTGTGTTTTGAAACCACGGTGTTCATTGTAAGCAGAATTTGGGGCATCTAAAATTGATATTCTTCTTTCCATGTGAATAGCGCACACAGTCCCAAGCATTGTTTGGGCTTTCCATTGACTTTCCATGGGCTATACTCACTCATGAAAAATAGTTTCTGTTTTTGGGTTTTCGTTATTTCAGTCGATGATGCACAAAATTAGCATTTTGTTATGCTGCCGGAGGTTGAATTCTTTCTGGGATGAGATAAGCTTCGTTATCTTACTGAATTCTTACGAGATTTAGTTTGCTGAGTTCCATTGTTGATCATTTTTGTTTGCTGATGTCATTTTCCTCCTGTACCAATCATTTCTTAACTTCCTGTTTAATGATCATGATTCCGATGCTTGAGTTCGTGTTGGATTATGTGGATTCGTTTTTTTTTTTTTTAATAATTAGTAGAGGGAGAGTTTTTCATTTGGAAGTGGACTTCTTTTTTTTTTTGGCATCTTGCATTTGATTTTGAGGAGTTCAGTGAGAAACCGTGGGATGAAGTAGACCTACTTTTCCTTTGCTCCGCTAAATTGAAGATTTGTAATATACTAATGTACTATTCTGTTAATGTACTAGGGATAAAGGATTAACACCCTGTTAATATGTTTCAGTTTGCGAGGATGGCATCTAATATTATGCGTTTCTATCTTATGCATTGGTCCTTTCGGATTAATTTTCTCAAATAGGTCCTACAGAGATCAAGAGTAATGGAATCGGCAGAAAGAAGGGCCTCTTATGCAGCTAATGGTTGTTTCACTCATGATTTCATGATGCCGCAGAATTCTTCTGACCACCCATCATCAATTTCTGAAACATTGGAATCTGATTGGGTGTCTTGCAATTCTGTCAATGATCAGGTCAACTCAGGTGGAACACGCCATAAGCCTAATCGTGAAAAATTACCGGACATGAAGTGGTGGCTACATGTGAAAAGCAACCTAGGAGAAGAGGCAAATTATACGTGTCAACGTTTGAATTCCTGGGAGGGCGAAGTTGATTCTTACTGTGCAGGATCGGTGGATGATAATGTTAAAAATGGGGATGTTCAATCTATCAAACACATTGATTCTGTCTCTTGTATTGGGAGTGCTAATCTGGCTGTGGAACAGCCATGGAATAGCTCTAATACCTGTATGAAAAACAATAACTATAGCAGAATGGCAAAAATTGGGGCTGCGCTGAATAACGATACACAACTTACAGCTAAGAGGATAGATCAGGGGGAATTCTGGTTTAAAGATGAGCATTTTGTAGACTGGGATGTTACCGATTTCCTGACCTCTGAACAATGTAAAAAGGCCTCGTCTGATCTAGACTCACATTGGATAGGCACTGAGAAAGTTGGGCCATGGTGGCGCAATGCTGGAAAGGATGAGTTGGCTTCCTTGGTTGCTCAGAAGTCACTTGAACATATTGAAAACTGTGATCTTCCTCAACCACAGATTAAGCATTTTAGGACGCCATCCCCTTACCTAGAGTGCCCTGAACATGACAAGACTCTGCCATCATCTCTGAATGAAAAAGCCAAGAAGGGTTCTTCCTATGTGGAAAGTTATACTTCTGGAACCCCCACTTCTGGTTGTTCATCACAGGATTCAGACAGACTGTTCAGGTAATGCCACTGTTGAGGGCCAGTTTAAAATTCTTTTGCAGTTCTCTGTTATGTTCAGTTTATTTTGGAAGCAAATCAGTGTTTCTTGTGGTTCAAAGCACTAATTGCCATGTCAGTTTGACTAGGGGTCTAGATCATTATCTGCTGAACCTTTTTTTCATATGACTCCTTGTGAAGATAGAAGCTAGAAGGTAAATTTTTCATGTGTAAAAATTTCCGCTGCTCCCATGTAATAGTGCTCTTGTCCTCTCCATTATTCCATTTTTTAACTGAAACTGGCTAGTTTTCCTTAATTATTTTGTGGAAACTTGTCAACACTTGTTTATTTGCACGGATTTCTATTTTTGAAGCCCTGTAAGAGTCTCCTGTCAAACATGTAGCGTTTCGTATTTCCACTGTTTCTATGTAGTAACTACTTTAGCGGTAGAGATAATGATTATTCCATTTATTGTAGAAATTATCACATGATACTGTGAGTTCCCTTCCAGCAAGGGAGTTTCTTAGTCTTGATAAATCTTAGGATGGATTAATCATGATTCCACTTGATTTTAAGTCTCCTGGATCTCTTGGTCCAACTGACTGCTGGCTCTGAATTTGTGCCCGTACTGATTTGCTTGAACAGTATTTAGTTATTCATTTGCTTCAGCTATGATATTCTTGTGCGTTATCATACCATGCTCTACATATCTCCAGCTCCAATCAGAGCAAAGATTCTTATTCGACCAGCAAGGGTGAACCTACGAATTCAGAGTCCAATTCCAAGGCTCAGTTGTTGGAAGCTTTGTGTCACTCTCAAACACGAGCGAGAGAGGCTGAGAAAGCCGCGCAACAAGCCTACAATGAGAAGGAGCATATCCTCAGTCTCTTCTTCCGACAGGCTTCGCAACTCTTTGCATATAAGCAGTGGCTTCATCTTCTGCAGCTTGAGAATCTTTGCCTGCAACTCAGAAACAAAAACCAGCCATTGTTACGTACAAAGCAAGTTAAGAATGGTCATCGTGTTGGTAAGAAGAGGAAGAACAGTAACAGAAGAAATGGGATCAGAAAGTGTGCTGTTGCTTTTGCTGTGGGTTTAGGACTTGCCGGTGCTGGTTTGCTTCTTGGATGGACTATGGGATGGATGTTTCCTTCTATATAGATGACATGTTTGGGTGTAACTTCAACTAACAATATCATGCTCTTCCTTTCATGCTTTGACAAGGTCCATGAAAGTGTAAATCTTATGTTTCCCTGTGATTTTCATCTTCTGTAAGTATTCATATCATCCATTCAGATCCACTAGTTGTATATTTTGAAGAAGACTGTGTGCAAACTGTAAAGCTTGTAGTGGTAAGAGATTCGAGTAATTTGTAAGAGGTTTCTACTATAAAATGTGATTATTGTATACATTTACCTCGTACTTTTTTAAGGTATGATTACTGATTAGTTGATTTAGACATGGCATGTGTATTGGCAAAATTTGTTATTTGCATGATGTTCCCTAATCATTCTTGAACCCTGAAATTATATAATCAATTTTCAGTTTATCGGTTTCTTGAATCTGTGTCTTCGTTTTTTTCCCTTCAAGAGTTCAAGTTCCGCACTCTGCTTTGACCCATTAACCCGCTTTTGTTGCTCAGACTCGGTCACGTATTATAAGGAAGTGAAGATCAATCACATTCCGCTTTTCATTCTTTGGTCAATCGCATTTATTCAACTGCTGGTTAAAAAAAAAAAAATCGCATTTATTCAACATAGGCTGCTTGCTCCGCCTTAGCTGGATATTCATCATCCTCCCTGAATCTGCGCTTTATTTAATCTGTATAATGTAATTACAAATATTTTCTCGTATTTTAAGTAGGGTTTAAAGAATATATGGTTTTGTTCATGTTAAGAATAATTAAACTTTCCTATGACTGATTACTTCTGGTCCTAATTATAAGATATTATTTGTAGTCGACTATAAATAATGTCTTATAATTAGGACCGGAAATAGTATATATTAAGTTGATGTTTATATATCAATTGGTAACTAGATAGTTATAACTAGATTAGCTCCATTTGATTAAAGATGAATTAAGGAGACTATTACTAATGTCTTGTTCCTTCTCACTTGATCTCTTAATCAATCGCTAACATCAAGATTATTATTGTTATATATTATCAATTTACATATTAATAAAATAAAAAGGGTATCTCTCGCATGGAATGCTCTGTTTGATATGTTAGTTTAATGAAAGGACTCTTTTTGAATTCAAAATATAAATAATACTCCTCTGGTCCTTAATATAGGACATAATTATTGATTTGGTTTTGATCTTAAATATAAGATCCATTTATCATATTTATCAATTTTTTCTAAATTACCCCTATGGATACTCCTTCAATCATAATTAAGTAGAAAAGGGAGATAGGGTATTAAAAAAGATGATTATGGTGTTCTAGGAAAAATATGTCACATTTCTTATAATTAACTAACTTACCTAACTTCCTTAATCTAATCAAATTAGTTAAATGAGTCTTATATTAAGGACCGGAGAAGTACTATTATATGATAACACTTAGACGAGAATTTTAGGTCACAATGTAAAGAATAATGTTAATTTACACAGTGCTGAATCAACTCATGAAATAAAATTTTGTTTCTGCTTTTTATATTAAGCCATCCAACAGTAATGCTATTTGGTTCTATTTATTTCGAATATTTAAAGGTGATGTTGATGCTAATCCTCGTGTTTATGCATATCAAACAAAAACTATTCCCCGAATGTATAGCCACCACGGTCCCCAGCTTTCTTGGTTGACTAATTCAAATATTTATAATTCATTGAGAAAATTATCCACAAGTCTCAAATAAAACAAATAAATATAAGGTTAAAATATATTTTTAGTCCTTTAACTTTACGTAAGATTTCATTTTGATCTCTTAATTTTAAAAAGTAAACTTTTAATCCTCTAACCTTAAAACTGTTAACAAAAAATGATGAAATTGAGTTCTTAAATGCTGATAAAACATTAATAAATGTTAATATATTAAGTTTAATATTCAAAATAACTATGATTGTTACAAAAAAAATCATTGAAGACTAATAATTTTTAGGTTAAAGGACTAAAAATATACTTTTTAAAGTTAAGAGACTAAACTGAAACCTCACATAAAGTTTAAGGACCAAATGTATACTTTAGCCTAAATACAAATATGTATCAAAATTTCCACGTTTATTAACTTACATATTTATAAATCGCATTATATGGTTTACAAGTTAAATATAAATATTTATGTTTATAAGTCAAGTTTTAATATATTTACAAATCAAGTTGTAAAAATTATTTTTTTGAAATATGCTAATATTTAATATTCTTAATTTGATGAGAAAAAAAAGAATTTTTGGTTAACTTTGCCTTGTTTATTCTTTTTTCCCTCCTTTCACACACGCACATGTTTTTGCCGTCACTTTCGTAGGCGCACGTTAAAATGGTTTTATTAATTAAAAATGAAGGATGTGGATGCCTTACATTTATGTGGCTTGCATTATTGCGTGCAGATACAGCTTCTTCTGCTAGTGTTATGTAATTTTTTGTTTCAAATTATATTTTAAAATCAATTATTAAATTTTGTGATATTATGCTAACTCATGTAATTTTAAATTTAACTATCGAGTTTCTGAATGACTTGACTTATAAATACACATGGTGTGTATAGACTAATAAATTCTGAGATATAATCTATTATTTCAGTTTTTAATATGTACTGAATAATAAATTATCAAATAATTTTATACAAGTTGTCTAAATTTTAAATTGCACTTTGAAATATTCTATCAAATTATTATGAGTAAAATACTTTAACCTTCCTTGCATTTTGCTCTAATTATATAGATTTTTTTTTTCTATTTTGCAAACTTACATTTGGACTTAATTCAGTTTAAAATATTCTAAAAAGATAGTTATGCAATTTTACGGGAAAAGTCATGTTTTTTTTTCTTTTTTAAATCTCATGCGCAATATTGTGGGTGGTCTTGCACCAGCGAAGGGATATATGGTCGTGCACCAACATTCTTTTGAGGGTGAAAAAGACGAGATATCTATTGGATCATATGCAACATGGCGAGAGATATGACACAGAAAATCTGTTGTCTGGGTTGGGGAAATTTGGATTTATCCATTATTTACAAAGACAAAAAATTTATGAATTCAACTTTGAATAAATTTTATCATTATAATTTTTTTATAATTTCAAATGTTTAATTTAATATAATTATTTTAAATATTTAATCTAGTTAACTCAACAAAGAATATTAAAAGTATTGAAATTTGAAATTTTTATACTACTCAAATAAAAAACATTTAAATATGTATTATAAATATACAATTTTATGAATGGGAATAGTTTTTAAGGTAAATAATTAAAGTTTAACTAATTTTTTTAATAATGTATCATTTCGAAGATTCAGATTTTAGTTCTGATACTTTGTTGTGGATCAAGTAACTGAAAAAGAGGGTGGATTGAACTGGAAAAAGGCTGAGGTTTGACGCATAAAACATGGCATACAAGAGTGGACCATGGACCATCAGATGGCACCGCCCTCGTCCCCGACGTGATTCTTCTTTGGTTCCCATTTTGACGCCGTCTTCTTTTTGACGCCACCTCCTCTCCACCACTCCCTCTCCGCCACGTGTTTCCCGCCCAACCTCCCCTATCCACCCTCCCCTATTAATTCAATAAACAAACGCCTCCTCACTCCCTTTCTCCCTGTCTCTCAATTATTCTATTCAATTCTGAATTCTGAATTCTCGCTGTATTTCGCTAACGTTCACCCTCTCGGCCATCGCGGTCCCCAGCGATGTCGTATTGCGACGTCGGAACGAATCAAGCGACCGCCGACGCCCACCTTAGCAATGAGATTAAGATATTTTATCGAACTTATGGTCATGGACCTACTAAAGTTCTCCTCATCATAGGTTCTTCATCAGTTGCTTCTTCTTTCTCAGTTTGGATTTGAGTTTTTTCTTCTTTGCTTCTTTTTGTTCCCCATTTCTGTGAATTTATCGAGATCGATCTTCAGGATTAGCCGGGACACATGACTCGTGGGGCCCTCAAATCAAGGCACTGACGGGAACCGTCTTGCCCAATGAAGATGACTCCGGTGACGCTGATTGGAATTCGGCTGATCAGCGATGCGGAGCTGACAATGAGAGTGGTGGTGGTATCGAGGTTTGCGCGTTTGATAACCGCGGTATGGGTCGGAGCTCCGTACCTACCAAGAAGTCCGCCTATACGTGAGTTTTAACTTTTTCCTCTTGTTTCGTCGAATTTGTGTCGTATCTTGAGTTCATTCGATTTTTTTCTTTTTGAGTTCATTCGATGTTCACATTTGCCTTGAATTAAATTGTTTTTGCTTCCAAGGCCCCGAGTTGTGGTCTTAATTAATAAATGCAGCATTATCCGTGTAGTTTGATCCTCGTGATTAGCTCAAGAATTTCCATTTGGGAAACCCTGAGTGCTCGGGGAGCCCGTTAATTCTGTATTTAATTTGTCTGTGCATCGATTCTCAGTTATGCATGATCTTAATTGCTTGACCAAGTTCTACTCTTTCTTTTTCATGCTTCCGACGTCTGGCGTAAATTTAATAAGTAATAAGAACAAAAGAAGTTCCCCACTTTTTTTGAGCTTTAAAACGCCAAGTTGAAAGAAAGTAGTGGCAGATGAAGTGATCTCAAGCAATGTATTTGAGATTATGGAAGGCAGTATACCTAGATTAAGTTGCATAACATTGCATATCATGAATTTATGTCAGTAGAAAGACACGAATTCTAACTTATAACTGGTGATTGCTGGTTGCAGGACAAAGATCATGGCTAATGACGCGATTGCTTTATTAGATCATCTGGGATGGAAAAAAGCCCATGTTTTTGGGCATTCAATGGGTGAGCACTAGCCTGTTACCTAAATTGTCACATGGAATTTCTTAAGTAGGCGTCTGCAATACTCTGAATTATAGACTATACATAGTTAAAATAATACTCCCTCTGTTCCTTATTATAAGAGACAAATAACCAAAGTACATTGATCAAAAAAACAGTTAAAATTAGTTAAGAACAATTAATGTGTAAAAAGTATAATTTTTTTTTCAAAAATGCCCTCATTAATAAGGAAAGAGAGCATGAGAGAGAACAATTAAATTATTAAAAGAAAGAGAAGTGGGAGGGAGAGAGTGTGAGTTGAAGATAATAAATATGGGTAAAATAAGAAATCAACATAAAAAAGTAGATACAACTTTTAAGTGTCTCTTATATATAGGAACATGCCATAAGCATCAAATGTCTCTTATAATAAGGAACGGAGGGAGTAGTAATTAAACTACCTTTACGACTGAGCTAGAGAGGGATTGACTTTCAGATTTTTTTCCTTCCCCAAAACATTTTCTATGGAAACAGGAGCTATGATAGCATGTAAATTAGCAGCAATGGCGCCTGATAGAGTTCTCTCGTTAGCATTGCTCAATGTAACAGGTGGAGGTTTTGAATGCTTTCCAAAGGTATTACATCCTTTTTGGAACTCTTGGAAAATTACCACACTGTATATGATCGCACTTAGAGACCACGTTTCCGTAATATGATCGCACTTATCCAGCTGTTCTACCATCTGGGAACGTTATTGGTACTGCTCACTGAATTCATGCTGTTTTCCATATTTTTCGTCGAGACGACATTATGCTTGAATTCACTTTACAAAATTCCTCTCATTTGTTCACATCCGGGCATAGTAATGAAGGGTTAAAACGAACAAGCTATATTTTGTTCAGTATTGGTGAATTCCACGGTACATTCAGGTTATTCCTGCTGGAGAACGGCAGCTGAGGGTTTCCATATAATAATTTCGAACTTAATTTAAGATAGCACATTTCTGCATGATCTAGCTTGAGTCCAGTTTCTCCTCCTTTTTGTGTATGCTAAATACATGCTGCTTTGACATTTCAAGTCGGCCTCGTAGAAACAAAAATGGCAATTCCTTGACTCAAGGTAGAATTGCCAAGAAGAGGAAGTCAATTTCCATGGGTTAACGCCTTGTGTAGATATAATAGGGCCTGTTTGGAAACGCTTATAAATAATTTTTCAATCGTAATTTACAGAATACGAGGTAAATATGTGAGAAGAGTTTTATCTTGACTTACGTGAAACGTGCTTATAAGTGTTTTTAATTGGCATTCCAAACGGGCACATAGTTGTTATTTGCCAATTCTACTAGTATATCCATATATTATTTTGATTTGTCCAATTCTTACTTGTGAATAAATAATTTGAACCTTCTTCCTGATTTCAAAGCTTAAGGCCAGCAACATAAATGCATATAAATTAGCAGTCATACTTGTTTCTCAGGAGTTTAGTCCTTTTTTTGGCAGTTAAACCGACAAACATTCTCCATTGCTTACCGTTTCTTAAAAGCAAAGACTCCTGAACTTAGAGCTGCTGTTGACTTGGACACCCACTACTCGAAGGTAAAAGAAGTTGTCTTCCTAAAATATCTCCCCTTCCTGTCTTGAAAACAATCTGAATTTTTTGTAGCCATAAAAGTGATCGTTTATAGCATATTTGAAGATAGATGAAAAGAATGAATCTGAATGTAAAAAGTGTATCCAATTACACTCTTTGGTGTCATTTCTCCCCAATGCATGACTACCATATTAGCTTCGATGTATTTTAATCCTTGTAATTTAACGTGTAGAGGGTAAGTCATTCAATCTTTTCACTGCAAGAGCCATTTATGGGCAAGTCATGTAAATAGCTTCTGGCTCTGTCACTGAATACTCACTTTCAGCTGAAAGTTCTTTTTCTTCCCATCTTGTAACAGCTCTGATTTACAGTCATTTCTCTTAGCCTACTTATTCAGTTATTTATATTGAATTTATAAGAGAATTTATATGACGTGCAGGAATATCTTGAGGAATATGTTGGAAATGAAAAGAGGAGAACGATCTTATATCAGGTAAGGCGTCTCAAATGCCTTCGGTCTTCATGAAGTTTTATTATATTTTACAAGTAAAAGTTATTAGTTCTGCCGGTGTACTACTTCCATGCTCAGTTTTTGTACTTCTAAACTACTTAAATTGCATTGCACCAAATATTTTATGCATAAATGTAACCGGTTACATAGTAAGTAGCAGTGACTGCTCAGTTTATAACGCAGAACCACACTCAATGCATATCCACTCTCTGGAAACATGTCGTTGATTGTTGGTTTGCTCCCATGATTGATGAGTTCTCTGTTTCCCCAAGGACTGATCAGTCTTGCGGTGTTAGGTTCTCAGCGTCTTCGTACTGGGCCATAATGATGCACTTGATTAAGCGTTCAGTGATTCCTTTAAAATACTTCTGATTCTAATGAACCGGATCTCTTTCAGCAATACGTTAAAGGTATATCAGCATCTGGGATGCAATCAAATTATGGTTTTGAGGGCCAGGTCAACGCTTGTTGGAGACATAAAATGACTCGTTCTGAGATTGAGTTGATAAAATCTGCGGGTTTTCTCGTTTCAGTCATACATGGCAGGTGCGTGGTCCGTCCCAATGAAATTTAATATAGACTAGAAATTGCACAGGAATCATTAGTGTATGGTAGAGGAAACAATTTTGTTCGAAATTTTTTTGTTTCCAATAGATCATAAGGTCAACATTAATAATAACAACCATAATAATAAGAAGAAGAAGAAGAAGAAGAAGAAGTCACTGTACATACCACATAGAGCCTAATGTGACGTTGCCCAAGAATTCCTTGTGTCCGATGTTCAAAAAATTTGGAAAAGGAACTGGATAACTTTATGTAAACTAAAAAGACAAGTTAACTGGAGACAAAAATTGAGGCTATCATTCATTGCATATTTCATGCTTGCATTCATATTTCGTACATAACAAAGCATTATCCATGAAAGATATAGACACAGTCAATCTTCTTTATAGTTTTAACTTAAGAGATGGGCTGCACCTTTCCTGCACATCTAGGTTTGATGTAATTGCTCAGATATACTATGCAAGAAGATTAGCAGAGAGGCTGTACCCAATGGCTAGAATGGTGGATCTTTTTGGAGGTCATTTAGTAAGTCACGAGAGAACCGAAGAGGTAAATTTTTTTTCTTTTTTAAATAGATGGACCAAAAATCAACTGGACTCAAGTTGTACCTTGTGTATAAAAATTTATTTGCAGAGAAATATGAATAGACAATCTTTTTTTTTTTTTTTAATTTTTCGGCCCAAAAGCATATATGCACTCGTTTATTTTGACCGTGTGACAAATAGTCACTCTATGGTCTATACTTTGACATCTGGACACCAGATACTCCTAGTTTAATGTAGTTTGAATGAGGAAAGCTATTCAGATACTTGCTGATAAACACGTAACATGCTAATATCACACAATGCTGTTTTGGCCTGTTTCCGTCGCATTCCTGCATGTCAAATATGATTTATATTTTGCAAGGAAAACAATTAAAGAGGCACATTGACAAAAAATGATGTGAAATGATAAAGGGAAAAATCATCGAGCAATTATACCATGCCATTTTTCCTTATACATAAATACATTTAAAAACTTCGTTAAATACAGGGTAGAAGGTGGATGAAAGGATCTACTAATATGCGAAAAACCAAAGGTTTATTATTCGGATTTCAAGGTGCATTGTTTCTGTTCAAAGAAGATTCAAATTACTGAGGCATCCGTGCGTTTTTCCTTCTTTTTTTTTTTTGGTTGCTTTTTTGTGTTGTTTTGTGTGTGTGTGTTTTTTTGGGGGGGGGGGGTGTTTCAACATTTTCCCCTTGTTTCTAAAATAAGAATCAAGCATCACAGAGGAAACTAACATACAAATTGCGAACTTCAGGTCAATCAGGCACTTCTTGACTTGATCAAGGCATCAGAAGTAAAGATGAACCCAGAAGATTGGACTAATTTGTCTAAGAAAACTTCTTGTAAGCATTCCAAAAAAAATTGTTTACACTTTGCAATTCAGCATTGGTTTACATCCGGAATGACTTTCATCTGTAACTCGGTGGATTGTTAACATGTGATATTTACGTTTATGCGCTGAAATATTTCTCTAGTACCTTATGAGGAATATAATTTATCCGTATGATCATTGAGAAAATATGGAATGATCGAATAGTTTTTCTGATTTGATGAAATATGGGATGTTCCTTGCAGGGTGGACAGAGAAAAGGACGTTATTTTTAAGTCCAAACATCCAGGGAGGAAGCGCCTCCGTAAAGTGTTGCGTCTTAGAAAAATTGCATCTCTTTCTTATATTTCTCTTCAGTCTGCTCCTTTTGGTATTTGAGTATGGAAGAAAGCTTCTAAAAACTGTGGTCAAGCCAGTTCGAGTTGCAAGTTCCGCCTCCTAAGTTGAGGGTCAATGACCCGTTGCTTTTTGATCTAACGGGTAATTATGCCTATTCCTCTGCATATATATCAATGATGCGAAATAATTATTATCTGTATCTAAAGGTTTCTTTTAACTGCAGGTATTTAATCAAACATGGCCAAATCGGTCATACCCAAAAAAGACATCACACATGTAGCCAGCAGAAAGAAGGCTCATGTATAAGGCGATGTTTGTCAAGTTTCATCTGGGGAAAACGCAAAGGTTTTCTGAAGTTTCAATGCCCGAGCTTAGACGGAATCCTTTCAGGCCCTTAATTTGAGTCCTGGGCATAACACTAACGTATTCTTTCATTTGCTACAAGGCGAATTCCTGAAGCTTTGTAAACAGATGAGGTGAAAAAAAGGCGGGATGACCCACTTTCTCTTTGTTGTATGTACACTACTTGAAATCTTGAATGATAAATTTATATACAAGCATGTTATGTTTCGTGACTTGGAAACAGGGAGCAAATAAAACAAGTTTCAGACTTCTCACGGCAAAATGGGAATCCCAAGCGTAATAACGTTGCAAACAAGAATAATCTTTCCTGGATATGATTTTATGGTTTCTATCCATGGATCTTAGGGGTAAAAATATTCATCTAGAACAGAATCGATTCAGCTATCATTCCCCATTAATCCCGAAATTGCAGGTTTTGGACCTAATTATCGCCCCCTCCCCAAGAAAACTCAGTAATTAATTGATTTCTCAATTTCTCAACTTGACTTCTATGTGCAAAATTTATTCATAGAAAACAACCCAAAAAAAAAAAAAATCAAACAATAATCGTTAGTCAAAGATGCAATCGCCGTAATATGGAATGTTCTTTGCAAGCTATTAGTGAAGGAAGACGAGAAAAGCACGCAGCACATGCACACGTAATTTTGCAAGAAACCTCTCTAAAATTAGATCATCACTAAGTTCAGAAGCTGCAACCTCAAATCCACAGACCCGGATCACACACATAACCAAAAGGTAAATTTGTTTTGTTTGATCATCCTCAACTGCAAGGTTATCAGAGAGCCATTTTAACGAGTAGAATCATAAGGTGGTGACAATCTTGGACAGTAAGAACTCAATTCAAATCCAAGCAAATCAATCTTAGATGCACCAGAACGCTTTGAATTAAATTCAATGGTTAACATTCAATCGACAGACATGAGATACTCATATACTTAAAAAGTCTTTCTTCAAAGTTGATTAAATAATTCAAACCAACCAAAACAATACGAATTCAAACTCTGGTTGACGAAATACCAAAGATGAGAGCATAAATTACGACAAATTGAAGAAAGAATCAATACCAGCCTACTGTGGCGTAAATAATAAGCACGCTTTCTCAAATTAGAATGCGCATTTTATCATAGGTGAGAAGACGGACGAATCAAAGTTGAAAGAAAACCTTGAAACAACTTTGAGCGTCCTAACTCGTAGGATAACTGATACGACAAAATTAGAGAAATAAAGTGAGAGAAAGAGAGCATACCTGGCGCAACGTCTGGATTCAGGAACATCACTGATGTGCGTGGAGCTACTGGCTTGTTAAACAACCGAAGAGCGCAGGAGGGAGACAGAGAGAGACAGGGAGAAGCAAGGAATCTGATGCTATACGCAGTAATATTCCCAGCGGGTAAAGCCATCCCAAATATTCCGCGGGAATATGCTCCAATCAGCACTCCAATGCGCCACAAGACTGGGACGACCCCCCACCCTGTCGTTTTAGTCCCTTGTTTTGCAGTTCCCGGGTAACTTGAGCGGTATCAAATCATCAAATGGGAAGTTGATGAAGATATTATATGTTAATTTATAAAAGCACAGCTGATTTTTTGTGTGCTACACTTAGGTATCCTCTGCCAGGAGATAATTTTATTCAAAACATTATTAAGTATTAAATGTAGACACTTCTTTTAGTGGAAATTTAATTTTTAATTTGTCATTTTGTGAAAAATTAGCTCCTTCCTTTAAACCAAATCCTATTAGTAGGTACAGCTGATTTTAGTAGTGGGCAGCCCCGCATTTCAAGAAACCTTTTGTTTTGTCTGGGAAACACTTTTGTTCTATTGGGCCCAATACAGGTGTATATATTTGAAATAACCAAGCGGGCCCAATTAGTTAGCCCGATTATAAGTACAGTCTCGGTTAGGAAGGGCTACTAATCATCAGACGGAAACGGCAAATCATGAAAGCCCTAAACGCTACATATAACGGAAATCAGAGTGCGCGTGATCCACCAATGGAGATTGGGTCTAACGAAAAGGGCTAGTTCCTCACAACTTCGTAAATTAAGGTTTGAATCCCTACTGAAAAAAGTACCCACATTTAATGCCTGACAGTATTTCGAATAGAATTGCCTCCAATCAATAGGAAGATGCGTATGCTTTAGCAAAAAAGAAGATTGCGCCTGATCCATCAAGTCCTAGAGGAAGCCCAATTTCAAGTCGACAGAAACGACGTCGTTGAAATGGTAGCTTCTTCAACAGAAAAACCCTTCTCCTGGCCTTAGCCGTTGCAAAGTTTTACTGGGTTGGCTCTCTGCAACAGTCATGGCTGACGCACCAAATGCTCAATCCCAATGGGAATTCGGCTGGTAACTCTCTTTCTCCCCCTCTCTCTGTGCCATGTCTGTTTACCAAGCTATTGTTGATCATCTAACTCTGTTTTTAATGTGATGTATTTGACTTTGTGTTCAAATACAATGCTTTTACTTATCTAACCGCTTGAATTTGCTCTTTACGGACCATGATTATGAAGCTATATTTGTCTAGGAGATGAATTATTGTGGCTTATATTTATTTTCTTCTCTTTTTACGAAGCATCAACACCTTATTCTGATGTAATTATTGTAGGCTTGATTCGCATATGCTTTTTGACTCCTGGTCGACAAGGGGAACAAATTAACCCGTTGATATTTTAAGCTGTTGGAAATGGATTGTATAGGTTATTCTCGGATTGTTGTAACTCATTTATCTGACTAACCCCATGACTGAAATTTTCAACCTTAGTTTCTCTTATGATTCTGATCTCTCTTTGATGTTCTGTTCGTAGTTGCTTTGCCTTTCAAAGTAAAGAAAAATGTACTCATTGGTGCAATTCTAGTTATAAAGTTGAGTGATGCAGTTTACCGTCGATTAGCTTCCTGTGATGAACTATGTTATTTACATCTGATATTGCAAATATTTAACCATCACTTGTGGTTTTTTTGAGGTAATAATAATGTGTCAGTGCTGTCTAAGTATCCACGAGAACTTGAGAATTTTTCTTGTGCCTTATCACCTTATCAAATGTCAAGAACAGGTTTCAATTCGCTGAAGTATTGGGGCTTGTCTAAAATTCTAATTTTTTGTTCTGTGTCATTAAGTTTGGCATTTGACATAATTCCGTGTCCTAGGGCTTCAGGTGATGCTCCTGAATGTAGGATTCAGTTACTTCTCAAGTACCCAAAAATTCTCAAGTTTTGGAATAAATCGGTTAAATTTTTGTTTGAATTAAGTAAACTAGTGATGAATGGTGCAATACATGTGGAAAGATTCCATGCTCTGGAGAGGACATTTTATAGGAAGAAGCTTAGCTTTGAAAATTCTTTGGTTTGGCCTCTGTGCTTAAACTGTTGCTAACTAGTCTGTATTTAAAAGAAAAATGGTATTCTTAATCTCTAACATCTCACTTGAAACTGTTATTACTACTATGTGCAGTGACCTTGAAGTGGATTTTGGGTCTGAAGAGAATGCTTCCATAGTACATGCCGCCTTATCTGTTGATAAGGAGGTAACTAATTTAAAGATATGAACTTTCTGCTGCTTCCTTGATAACATCTAATTTTCCAACTAGAATTTGATTCAGTTTCATCTCTGTTGTAGTTGCAACCAGACAAGGTAAAGCGACTTATGACAGTTTCTAAAGGAAAGCTTTCAGTGTGAGTATTCTCTCTGCTTGATAACACTTAGATGTTCTTGCAAATGAGTGTTTGGTTACTCATGGAGTACATCATTTTCTATTTAAGTGGATGCAAAAGATGTTATTAAAATGAAATTTGCATTGATGTTGTAACTGCAGCCTCAACTTTTAATCACTATAAAGTTATCTTTCAAGTGTTTCGCTCAATTTGTATTACTTATTTTCTCACACCTCCAATTTTTTCTATTTCAGGCACTTTGAGGCAACAGAACCCAGATTTCTTCGGGCATCATTCAGTGCTTTTGTAGATGTGCTTACCCTAGCCACAAAAACAATTGAAGAGTTTGGTCAAGGAATGGAGTTGTGATATGTGCTTGACACTTGTTAGGCTCTTCAAATGTTCTGTAATATTGTAACTCCAACTACTGTTACATATCTGCCTTCCCTAAAAAATTTTTATAGTTCATCTGTACTTGTTAATCCCATTATTATATTGGATTTTTTTGAGATTAGCAAACAGTGACACTGATAGGACTTTAGATACTGTTAGCAGGGCATTGGTTAATCTTGTTTTGTAATTTTATTTGTACTCTTGTTTTTATTTTCTTAAACTGCATAACTCTTCGATGAAAAACAAATAAGAATGAGAGAGTCTCCAAAAATTTGTGTGCAAATCTCCTTTACTAGATGATTGAGCATACAGAATATTGCATGTGGAAAACTAATGCGCAAGTGAACGGAAAACAAATTTCATATTCTTGGTTAAAATAAAAAGTTCATTAAATAATAATGAAAAAATATAAAATAAACACTCCATAATTATATCTCCTCTGTTCTTCACCATAATTTTATATCTTCTCCGTTTTTCATGCAAGTGAAACTGATTACTGCGCCAGTGATTATGCCAACTAAACCAAAATGGAGAGAAAAGCCGAATTTACAACTCGTGAGAATGCAATCCATTGTAACACAAAGATCGTATTACATTGAAACGCCACACAAAATGGCTATGGGAATCTCATTAGATCATGAAGAATCCCTCTCATAGCTAACATTTAAAACAAAAGGAAACCAATAAAAAAGAAAAGGAAAGAAAAAAAAGAAAATTTATGGCATATATGTTCATTTGAAGGACACGAGAAACAATCAACCCAAAATGGTTAAAAAAATGGCAAGCAAAACTCCAGTTGTTTCTACCCTCATGTTCTTGGGTCTCTTAATTTCAACTAGCTCGACGCCAATCAGTACTCGTCCAAGTATGAGTAGAGCATATCATCCTTCTTTGACTTACGCCTGCTGAGTAAGGCCTTTAGGAGTCTTTTACTTTTACTGGGAATTTGCTCAACATCCTTCCCGTTCTCCCTCTCAGCAGTGAGTCGCATTGAATATGATTTGCGAGGCTCAGAAGGGTACTGGCAGAAACATAAATCAGAAGCAGTGAAAAAAACATTTCAGAACCCAGATCAATTTCAAATACAGAACTTGGTCAGTATCGAAATCATTAACTATACTGCAATTGATGAACTGAGACAAAAACAAAGTATGGTTTACTTACCCTTGGTCTTACAGGAGGATTTGGTGTGGTTGGTCTACTTGAGTTTGGAGTTGTGGGTCTGCTACTAGACTTTGGTGTTGTAGGCCTACTTGACAGAGATCCAGTTCGCAAAAGTGGAAATCGGTACGGTGATGTTGCCCTCTTATCTATAGTTCATGCATAGATTGTAGATTCTAACATCAGTAAGAGAATTTCGAACCTTTATGTGTAAAATGACAAGCAACTATAAGATGAAGCTATACAAAACATGCAGACAACCTAAATCTTTCTTGGGCGTGCTAGAAGTGAATGAAAAAGCTCCTGACTTTTGAGGTTGTAAAGGTGATGGGGATCTTCCTTTGCTGCAATCAAAGTGAGACATTATATCATGTTCCTCTAATTGTGCTATTCAGTAAACCTTGATTTGCAGATATATGCAAATACCTCACTGTAGAAGGTGGGGTCTCTCTGATTGTAGCTCGAACAGCTTCATGGAACAAATCAGAAGAAAATACGTTTAGTTAATGTTAAAGGTAATTCTTTGAATATATTAAATGAAAACTACGAAGAGAGATCAGAAAGAGATACCATTCCTAAAGTGATGCCAGTCATCTTCATCATCTAGATTGCATCCTATGTATTTTGATCTTTTTCTGTTGGCACCATGGATGGTCTCCCCAACTGAAAGCATGAGTTTAAGGAATATGAACATGATGAGCATGCAAAGGCATCATTTCTAACCAATGACTGGAACAAAATACGATGAAAAGAGAACAGCCTCGTTTAGAATTTCAAGATGGAGTCAAGCAGAATCAAGAATATCGCATAAACTTGCCTGGCAGAATGTATCGCTTGTGATATTTAGGAGTATTTATCACCAGTGACTGTTGGGTCCGTCCCTCATGATCCATAAAATCTTGGCATGTTCTTATTCTCTAACATCAAAGAAAGGGTCAATCTTCAAAGCCATAGCAAGGAATTAAGATTAAGCTTTGACCTGAATTTTAGCATGATTGGATTTTAACAACCCCACAGGTACCAAGACTTCTATTATGAATTGTGCAGAACATGACTCAACCTGTCCACTACTGACGGGTATATAAAATTTATTTTAAAATAGTAACTGTTCACAAGTTGAGAGAAATCGTAAATCAACAGTAACCTAAGTTTTACTTTTTGTGTGTGGGTGGATACAAAAGCAGATAGATGGATAGATAAGTCCATGTTACTTCAAGACGACAAAATAATAATGATTGTTTTCCTACCCCAATAAATTATATAATACCCACTGACTCATTCTGATGATCCCATAATGAATTATGAGAGTATATCAAATTTTCTCTTCAGCATTTACTTTCATGTTCAATTCATTTTCTTTCTGCAGCTAAATGGAGGGTACATCATTATACCTGTTGAATACAAGATGCGCGTAGCTCAGCTTCAGAGACTTCAACAATTTTCTCATCTAACAAGTCGTTCACCTTATAGGTCACAGAACCTATATGGTCCACTGTATTTACAAGAGCTTTTATGGCATAATCCTTCAATGTCTCTACCACGCTGCCAACATAATATAGAAAGAGAAATAAAACAAACAGTCAAGGAGTCGAAGTATATAATAATGCTACTATAAATACAGAACAGAGATATCAGAGTCACTTACATCTGTTTTTGGTCATCATTGGTGTATGAGAGTTCAAAATACTCGGCTGCAGAGTATAATTGTGTTCTCAGATTCTTCAAATCCTACGAAACAGATTAAAACAGAAGGCTTATCAAAACTTCTCTACGCTAAAACACACCTAATTAAAAGGTTTGCTCTAAGTCAACAGCATTGTTACATATGCAGTAAAGAGGTGATACCTTGAGACAATCATCAAAGAGCAAGCTCTGGTGCATGAAAACCTCGTCATAATTGGAAGCCTCCCGAGCGATGGGCTGGGTTGAAGTTGTGATCTTCCCCATGGATATACAAAACTGGAAGAAGACCCCTCCTCTTCATGAGAAATGACAAAGAAAATCAATATCAATGTCGATATAATATATATAACGGAGACAGTGTTCAAATTAAAGTAAGGAGGCTCAAGAAGGCGAGATAGAAAACCTTGGTATTTAGAAATAGAAAATCTAAAGAAAAACCGAGAGATCACAACCAAAACAACTAATCTCTCAAACTCATATAATTTAAAGCCCGTAGACAGAGATTACAACCGCCAGTTTGATGAATGATGAAGAAGGAGACAACCCTTTAACTACTAACTGAAATATGGCAGAAGTTGATATTCATTTAAGAGAACGGGTTGCACGCTTCAGTAAGAAATTCGGCAGCATATAAAAGAAAAGACACCCATTTTGTCTGTTACTTCGGCAATACTCGCATTTGTATTGAATTGCACGAGTTACCTTTAAACAAAATCAGATTCGATCCTCAAAAGGATCAAAACCTGTAATACTTTTCAACGATTATATGCTTTGCAAGATAGTTTCACTATTCTGTTTTCAAAAATCAAGATTAAGCCAAACGATGGCAGTAGAATTTAGCTAAGAGATGGAAAGCTCCCATGCTCGACATGTTAGCTCTTCCAGGAGCATACCTTTCAATTCCAATGACCAAATTGTTTGAACTTCAAGCAGAGATGAAAAACCGAGCTTACGAGGAAAATGCAGAAACTAACACAGTGCTCTTGGACTGAGATGATTCCTCTTCTTTGTCTTGGTTTTCTTCCTCTAGTTGTTCCACTTGTTGAGCTTAGCTAGGACTGTTCTAACTAAAACCTACCTCCCATTTGAAAATGGAGAACCGAAATGGAATCAACTGGGGAGAAATGTCAAAGAAAAGGCATTGTGGGGGCGCCTATCCTTTACCCCTCGCCGAAAAAGGTTGGTATTGGAATTTTGACTACATCAAGGAAAACGACAACAACAAAAAATCTTTGATTTTGAAAATCAAGTTTGGGAGAAGGTGGGGGAAAGGAAGGAGAGAAATTAGGACTGAAAGACAGAGACATAAAGGAGAGGAGAGCACGTCGATGCGGAAGAGGCAGAGAATCCGGAGAATGTTGTTCTGAATATTTTGCTTGTTGAGGGAGCAATTATACACGCATGGATAAAAAACACATGGAATCAAATATTTTATAGTCCAGATTTACTTCGTTGAAGGTGTTCGTTTTTATATAGATCTCATCATTTGCATATACTCTTATCTCAATGAGATTTGAATATTCTTAAACAACTGGGGAAGAAATAAACGTAGATGAGTGCAAAATTTCTCCACGCTCCCTCTCACTCTTGCTTTCCCAATAAGACGATAACAAGTGGCCGACTAAAAACAGTTACTTTCATAAGACGACAAAGGAGCAGAAAAAACATCGGGAAATTTGGCACATGAAATTGAAGCAACTCACGGAAAAAGGGCGCGGGGAAGAGACGCGATACGAGGAGCAGTGAACTTGGAGGCACGCCTTTTTGTTTTGCCGCGCGTCCCGCATTTCCACTCCACCTTCAGCCATCATTTCTTTCAACGCTTCCACTAGTGTTTAGAAGTTTTGGCCCCACAAAAAACCAAGAGTTTTGAACTGTTTAGATGAAAATAAAATCATAATTTTAGAAATAAATATATAAAAAAACTTGTTTCAATTTACAAAAAAATACTTTTAAGGAGTATTTTTATAGCTTTCCAAACATCCTGTTTCTACCATTTCTAAACCAAAAAATGTTTACCATTTTAATTAATTATTTTTTTTATGATTTCACATTTCAGTGTTGACAGAACAAATGATTGGCCAAGGGGGAAAAAAACACATGCGAAGTATAGGAGTGACATAATAATAGAGGGGTAACATTATTGTAGGAAAATAGCACAAGAAAAAAAAAACACAATATTGTGGGAAAATAGTAGGTGGGGAAAAGGAAGGAGCTGATGAAGGAAACTGGCGGGAACAAGGGGGCGCATGAACACGAGCATGATGAGCATGTGCTCCCTTTTTTATGGGAACCATCCTTTAAGATTGTTTTTCAAGCAATTGATAATGAGGCCTCCCACTTTTTTTTTGGCTCTCATCCCCACTTTTTCCCTCCATTTCTCTTTTTTTTTTTCTTTTTCTTTTTTGGGGAAACCTCTTCTTTCTTTTTTCATATTACCGTATTAAAGCTTAACATGAGTCCACTGCTCTAGTCTTCTCACCCATCTAGGTTAAGGGTTTCAAACGACTTCATCGCATTGAATTTTTTTTTCCCTTCTCTTATTAAGTTTAAAGCAACATTATTTTGAGTTTAAAAATTAAAAAAAATAGTGGTCCAATCATAACTGTGTTTTATTAACTATTTTGCTTGATTATGTATGGTTTATATATGTTTGTTAACTTATGGGTTAATATATTTTTTATGTAAATATTAGTTTAATATGATCTTGATCCATCTGACCTCGATTCAAATAAAAAGTTCTTGACCCCCCAAAAAAAAATCAAAAGTTCTTAAATTATTATCTTGCCCGATGTAAATCAATACCACCCACCACTCCACCAGGCCACCGCACGTCCTCCACTGGACGAATCAGTCTTCTTTTTATCATTGCAATTGGTGGCGTGACTCGCGGGGTGTTGGTGGCTACTATGTGCGTCCCCACTCCGTTTCATCGTTCCTCTGTTGGGTCAACCTTCCCCTTTCTTTTTCCGAATGAAGAGCTGGATTCAATACAACAAAAGTACAACCAAGCTAACCGAACTATCACTCGTCATCAAGCCTGTTGCACAAGAGGTGGAGGTTGCAACCTTCCCCGTTTTACTTTTCCTAATCCAACCCCCCTTCATTTTATAACATTCAGATTATTTTTTTCCCCCAGCATAAGCCTTCTACTGTCATTGGAGGCAACCTATTCAAAATATTATCAGTGCTAATTGTAGACATTTGTCTCGATAGTAATTTGAATTTCGATTCCCCATCTCGTGCACTTTTCTATTTTTTCATTCCTCAACTTTTGAAATTTAACAACAATTAAAAAAATTTATTATTGAAGACCTATTCGAAACATTGTCAGCACTAAACTTAAAGTTTAATAAATATTGAAGAAAACTTTTGAAACTTTACAACAGTTTTTTTTTTAATTTTTATATATATACAAATAACTCTCATACTACTAATTTTATGTATTAATTATCTATAAATACCTTAAATTTTAAGAGATTTATATAACTTAATGTTTGATGGGCTTATATTCATGCAAAAATAAATTTTAAAAGGATATAAAATTAATAATTTAAGGTTATTTGCATGAATATGAAATTTTAAGAGTTTATTATGAAGTTTTGAAGGTTAATAAAGTTATTTCTACATAATTCTAAGTCTTAAAAAAATTATGGAATGTAGCATTTTTTATGATGTCATTTCTGGATACAAGTTGAATTTTTTTAAAATACAAACATTGAATCTCTTTTGATGAATAAACGAGGATGACATTCGAATTGAAAGGCGAGCATCCAAAAGCATTGGTCCAAATCCCACAAGTCCGTTTTCTTTCAGAATTGGGCCTGAAAGGACCCCATCATCACATTTTCATATTCTTTGTCGGCCCAAACAAGTCATCCTCTAACGAAGCCCACGTTTCCAATCAGAGCCCTGGGTTGACTCACACTACTCGATGATTCTACTTTAGCTTTTTCTGGCCCAATAAAAAGTTGCCTGAGGGCACATTAGTAGAAGCACGACATTTAGTACAATATCTTCAACAAAATTGTTTTTAATAGCAAGAAATATATGCTTATATAATAATAATAATAATACTCGTGCTTTTATGACAAGGTATGATTTCTTTTAACCAGCATAAGTTTTTACTTTGATGAAATCATCCATAGACTCACTGCCTTATATCTCTTTCTTGTATTTGACTTTTTTTTTTTAACTTAACTTATGAATGAATGATAAAATGGTATAAAAAATAATGAATGCTTTATTAAAATTTTGAAGAGGCAATCATTTTGAAGTAAATTAAATTTAAAAAAAAAAAAGTAAATCAACCATCCTTTTCAAAGCACATGAACTTGAGAAAAAAAAAGATTACTCCATACATATAAAAGTTGTACAAGTCTCATGATACTCCTATATAAGTGCGATTTCTTATCATCAACGCCCTTCTAACTCAATAACAATGCGCATATCTTTTTACTTTTTTCAAATGTAAGGTTATGAATTCGATCCCTATATAAATATCAGGGGTCCTTCCAATGGATGAAGGATGAAGGTGTGGTTTCCTCAATCTCCATATTTTTTTGGCAGTACTTGGGGATCAAAGGAAGAAATAAACATAATGAAAGTGAAATTTATATTTTATTTGCACATTTTTTTATTTCTCAATGGTGATGGGCTACTAATTAATTAATGAATATGAAAATCTAAATTGAAATGGAAACATGCCAAGATTTACTGGTGAAATATATTCGCCTATGTTTATTTTCGGGGCGTTTATTTACCATAATAATTAGCGGAGTTAATAATAATGAGAGAAGTAAAGGAAACGTGGGAGACCAGAATACGTTTGATCAGTTGCGACGGCTAACCACAATCATGATGATGTTGTTGGGAACCGTTAGTTAATTAACAGTCATCATTAATTAGCTAGCATCCTCATCACATAACTATAACCATCCCCCCTATAACGCGTCATTATCTCAATTCATTGATTCCTCATTCAATACTTATCTCTTTTCCGATGTCTTCTTCCTCTCCACTGCCGTTCTCGTTCTTCGTTCTTCGTTCTTCGTTCTTCGTTCTTTTTTGTTTTTTTTTTTTGGGTTTTTTGAACCACTTGGTGAGGAAACAAAAAAATGAACATCATGGACAAACCATGCACTAGATAGCGGAAATGGAGGTTTGTGTCCGATAGCAAGTTTCTAGAAGGCAGATGAAGTATTTATACTCAGAAACTTGGATTATTTTAATTCCTTACCCTGTCAAACATCAATCAATTATGATATTTTAAATTTAAATTTCGAAATAGAGAAAACACAGGGTTTCAATGTGAATATGATTATTTTTCCTCAAATAATATTGTGAAATTGATTTCTCGTCCTGGCTGGTGACAATGTAAATTAATTACATTTCGATCAAAAGTTTACCCACATAATGTATTATTTCGTTATGAATATTAAAGATATTCATCCATGTATTCATGAACGGGAGAATTAATGCAACTTCATCTAGAACTAGACATTATAATGTAATGATATTTTTTCCCTCAGAAAAATTAATATTAACAATATTAACTATTGAAAAATTATTCCTAGATTTTCTTTAATGGATGAGCATGAACACAGACATGTTGAGTGCGTGTAACCCACTCGCTGACGTTGTTAAGTGCAGCCCCCCTGCGATAATTGCAATTGAATGGCCCGCTCATTCATTCCTGGGTTCATTCGTTCATTAGCATTTTCTCACATTAAAAAAAAAAAAAAAGAGTAGAATTCACTGAAAATCTGTTTTCTGTAACCTTCTCTTCCCCATTCGCGAACTCCAACCCCCTCTCAGTACTGTTCAATATAAAAACCCCATTCTCCCCAGAAAATTCTATATCTTGCTTGTGACTCATCACGTCACATTCTCTCTCCCGCAGATATGGACTGCTACTTCAGTGACTTCGATTTACCAAACCTCGATTACCCACATGGCTTCACCTCTTATAATCCCACCTACCCACAGGAAACGTAAGTATTCACGAATTCCATTCATTTTAAGCTTTACTTTTTTCCTCGAGTTTTTACTAACTTCCTTAGTGAAAACGAAGCCCTCTGTTCTTGCTCGCTTTTCTAATTTCCGACACTGGATATTTTTACTGCTTTGATTATTTCTGAGATTATGTCGATTCTTTCAACGTTATTTTGACATGTTCGGGGTTTGAGAACGACGTATTTTAGTTTCCTGTCCGGGTTGTGGTGCTATTTTTTTAAATTCTGTATTCTTAATATATGTTGCAGAATATTGGAGATGTCACCCGTGATGGGTTTAGCTGACATGGATCTTATGGTCCCACCGCCATATGAAAGCAACCCAATTTACTTGAACCAGTTCCCGGAACTCGAAAATTTCGGCTCCAACTTCTCTGGGTTTGATTACAGTATCCCTTCTTTTTATGATGACTTGGTGATCGACGAAAAGCCTTGTACCATTGTTCTGCCCAATCACTCCCAGAGCCGGAGTTTTCCTATTCAAAGGGGCCAATCTTCGAGCTCTATGTTCATTGGGAGTGGGTTTGCCCCTTCTATTAAAACAGAAGAGGACGAGACTAGGAACAGGATTAGCTATAACAGAAAGAAAAGATCAGCTAACTTGGAGTTAGATGATATAAGGAAGTATTTTCATGTTCCCATAACAAAAGCTGCGAAAGAACTGAACGTGGGGTTAACCCTGCTGAAAAGAAGATGCAGAGAGCTTAATATTACCAGGTGGCCTCATAGAAAAATCAAGAGCTTGAAAACCCTCATCGACAATGTCAAGGTATTAGTGTTTTACAAACTATTCTGCAGATTAAGCGTGTAGAATTATCATATATATGTGATAGTCAGTTGTTTAAAGTTCAGAGGTTTTATGTTGTGATGTAGGAACTGGGTTTGGCCAACGAGGTTGCTATGTTGGAGAAGCATAAGAAGCTTATGGAGAAGTTGCCTGATATAGAATTAAGCGAGAGAACTAAGAAGCTGAGGCAAGCATGTTTCAAAGCTAATTACAAAAGGAGAAGATCACTGGGACTCCAAGCCCAGGCCTGACTATTTTCACCATCAGACAGGTCCAGGATAGTGGATTTTAGGCTATAGCTTAGGTGTATAGAACAGTATGAACTATGAACTAGTAAAATGTTTAGACTCTAGATAAGTTTGGCTGGGCATCAAGTTTTCTGCCGTTTTGTACGAGGAGTTTCCATTTCAGACAGATACTATATCCTAACCATGTTTTTTTTTTTTTTTAACTACATTTAATTGGCTCATCATGGATGTTACTGTGCAAACTAGTTTCTTGCATTAGAAGAATTCTTAATACTCTGCATCTCACGCTGTTTCATAGTCAACACACGTATTTGTCCCTTGGTCAAGCAAGTAATCATCAGCAACAGCAAGTACTCACAACAGCACTAGAATGCTTGCAGATACATCAAGAAACACTTTCAACAACAACCTTCGCTACTTCTGCGGAAAATCGCTGTAATATAGACTCTTATCCAATGGTTTTTAAAAGCTGTTTTTTCCCTCTACGCCGAGGCTTTTATACATGTTATTATCATCATGTTGATGAATTGCTTGGTTGTTTGCTGTGTGGATGAACCTTCTGACCAACAATCTTTGACGGAGGGGAGGGTTTAATGTTGATTTGAGGAGATTAAGAAGCCTTTTCTTCTTGTCACATTGATGAAGGAAATGATGAATGCATGATTGACCCTCTTGAAAAGGTGTAAGAAAGAAAACATACGTGCAACTTTTGAATTGGACTAAACAGACACAAAAACAAGTAAGAACCAAAATTAGATGTTAAAATTCTGAGGAAGATGACGACGAAGTGATCACAAACATTCAACGCGTATGACTTTGACCCTTTCCGCGGCGGGGGAATGAGGTGATCGTAAAGAACACTGTAGCGAACAGTGAATACTATAAATGGACGAGTCAAGAAGTCAACGGCGATGGGTGAAGTAGATATGTTTGGGGGAGAAAATTACGGTATATAAGCAGATCTCTTATGGAACGTACTTAACAAGAAACTCAAGAAGCAACCAAAAGTGGACTCAATCAATCGAATACCAAGCTAACAAACCGTAAGAAAATACGCGTTCATCCCAGAAAGTGACTGATATGTGTGTGTGTGTGTTATGATTTCTGAATGTCTAACGCGTGCGCACTCAAGATTAATAATATCCACACGTGTTGTTTTTGCACAAAATTAGTGAAGATCTTATTACAACAGGCAAATTTACGGTTAATAATTTTATTATTAGATTATTGTTTTACAATATTTTCAAATATATATACTCTTCCGGTTCTTAGTATAGGACCTAATTATTGAATTGATTTTGGTCCTAAATACAAAATATATTTATCATATTTATTAATTTTTCTTAAATTAATCCTATGGATACTCCCTCAACCATAATCAAGTAGAAGAGGGATAAGAGATATTAAAAAAGATGATTATGGTGTTTTAGGAAAAGTATGTTATATTTTTTATAATTAACTAACTTACTTAACTTTCTTAATTTAATTAAATTAATTAAATAGGTCTTATATTAAAGACCGAAAGAATATATATATATATATATATATATTGAAGTCCTCTTTAGAATTAAGGTAGCTCTCTGGCTCCTGAAAAGGAAAGGTAAGCCGACGGGAGTGACATGAACTAATCTTTTAATTTTTGGAGGGACCATTTTTCGTTCTTGACTCATGGTCAGGCTCTCGTTGTAGTTGAGACAATTTTTAAATATGTGACCAGTGGCAATAAGCATAGCAACTTTAAAAGAATAATGTCTTGTAAAATTTATAACCAATTTTGATTAGTATGATATGATGGAGCTTGTCAGTATGTTTCGCCTTCACTTTGGAACGATTTTAAAGGTGTGTTTGGTATGAGGGATTTGAAGGGGAGGGATTTTAATCATTTTTTTTTGTTTGGCAACAAATAAATTTTAGAAGGGGAGGAAAATTTTTTTATCTCCCCTCCCCTCCTCAACCTTCCCTCCAAAATTAAGAGGATTTGGAGGGAAAGAGTAATATTTTGTCATGTTTTGATCATTATACCTATATTTTATCATGTGATGACCATTATACCTATATCTTAAATAAAATGAGGGTGAAATTGTCTATATTAAAATATTTTTTTCCTCCCCTCTCTTCATAAATCAAACAAGATAATATTAAAACTTCTCTCCTTCTCTCGCTTTTTATAAATCCAAATAAGGCATGTAATATTAAAATCCTTCTACTATTCTCTTTTTCTCTTTCCTCCATTAAAATCCCTCCCCTCCACTTCCTCTTATTAAACCAAATAGACCCTAGAGGTCACAAGTTGTTTGGGGTTTTTAAGCCTTTATAAAGTCCATCTGTCAAAAACTAGTTAGAGTTATTTTTTACTTTTGAAAAAATTTAAATTACTTTTAATAGCAAAAACTGATCTGAGTTTATTTTTCAAACAGCTTTTAATTTTTCAAACCAAATTGTTAACTGTATCCAAACATAAATTATACGAGTATTATGATAATTTTTTTAAAATTCATTTTTGTGCAATAGAACTTCTTTTTAACGATATCGACTTTTGATCTTCATCAAAAAAAAAAAAAAAAACGATATCGACTTTTGATGAACGGGTTATTTACAAATTGAAAACCAAACATGCTATCATCAGAAATTGGATTTGATTACATCATAGTGGCGGAAGCGGTAAGTAATAAAAGTTGGTTGAATTGATAAGGATCAGAAGAACATGTAATTTTTATATCATTATTTAAATTTAGTTATTTTTTATAGATACTCCTCCGGTCCTAAATATAAGATCTAATTGTTAGTTAATTTTGATCCTAGATATAAGGCCTATTTCTCATATTTATTATTTTTTTTAAAATTAAAATTGACTCATTGCACTAGTATAAAATTGCATATAAAGTAATTAATAAATCCTTATTTTCCCCAAACTAATTTATATTATGAAATAATATGAACCCATTTCAAAAAACTTCTTATAAATTACTACCTTCACTCATCAATATAACACTCAGTTAATTAATTTGAAAAGATTAAAAAAGTTATTGAATTATTTAATTAAAACATATGTTACATGATCTCTCTAAAATACTTACATGTATCATTAGATCATATATTAATTTCTAAGAGTAGCAAATCAGGTTATTTATCACTCTTATTTACTCTCCCTACAACTGGATTTTATATTGATGACCAAGATAGTATAATAGATACCGGTAATTATTTTATATAGGTTTATTCATGAGAAACTATACATAGGTCCAGGGGCCACAACATATTAATAATTTCTTTTTCTTTTTTGTAACCAACATTTTTGATATCAAACCTCCAAGTAAACATGTCTATTAAAATAATCAGCATTGTTCACTTTCCTTTTGGATAGACTCATCTCCAGGAGTCAACCCGCGTTAAGTAGGATAATGAGTAAGGCCATGACTTTTACGCCCCCCATTAAATTGTTAAAAAATTAAAATTATCTTTTGAAAACCACCCGCTGAATACTTAAGGATCCGCTTATTTATTGGTCAATGAATCTGATCATATTTTCTTCATCCACACGTAATTTTGTCTTTTCCTTTTCAATCCAGGCAAACGACCACCGCACATCACCACCCCAATATTCTAATTTTCTAATCTGCTCAAAGATCTCCGGCCCTACTTATCACACATCTTTCACACCCTTTTGCATTTTCTACGATCCCTCTTTCCGCTTTAGTTAATAATAAAATCATGCAATAAATTAAAATTAAAACAACCTTATCATTCATTAGTTGATCAAATAATAATAATAATAAACAGTACCCTATTATTGGTATTACACTTGTGACATAAATAACATATGATAAAGTAGTTCACTTTATACGTAGAATTGCATTAAGATAAGAGGAGCTCATCTTTGCATACTCCTGCTGTTCCTGCTGTACAAATAAAGGGTGGGTTTAGGGGATAACTTTAATTAAGGGGCCAGTAAAATCAAATCAGATTACATCAATTTCTTCTGAGATCCCATTTTCTCTGCTTTTCTTGCTTGCGTTTCCATGGGACCACTTGCTTCAAGCTCTCATAAATGCTTGCCTGTATCCATAAAATTGCTAGATTAGACACTTTACTAACTCGTAAGTCATAATACGCATCTAAAAGTAAAATTCATCCTACTGGCTCTACATCAGGTCCAGCTTTTCGGCACGTTAAATATATTTCAACCGTACAAGAAGATAACTCAAAAGTCTATGTCAGCTGTGAGAAGCTTTCCCAAGAAAATGAACAAGACAGAAAATGAGAAAAACTTTTGATCACCATCTTTAGTCTCCTGGCTCTTTTTCGGCCATCGCAGGAAGTTAAAGTAAAACCTGTAGTCAAACATGATCTTTTCCTTTTAATTGTTTCAGGCATTTTGTTTAATTACACATATTCCATTTCGATGCTACTTGCCAGGTATAAGATGGGTTGTACAGAACAAAAAGGAGATCATAATTGGCAGCCAAAAGTGGATACAGTAACATGTCTTCAAAATGTTTCTAAAAGAATATGAACGCAACTTCATTATTCAGCTTGAAAGTCTAGAATGTGTGCTGAATATTATTGATTAATTGAGTGATGAATAAAAGCATTCTCAGTTTTCATCCGTCGGAGAAATTAATTGTCTGGTTAATTAACTCCAATCACATACCCAAACAAGTAATTGAAATAAACAACAGAGGAAAAACTCATATGATGAAACAAAAGCCGATTAAACAAGATTAATTTCAGTATTTCTTGCACATATGCTTAGTTTTGTTCGAATTAAACAAAAGATCATATTGAAAAGGATACATACCCACAAATGTGATCTTGACTGAGATAGATTGAACAAGCTTCCTCTTCTTCCGATCTTAGCGATCTTAGCCTTCACAGTGGTATTAGACTCAAAGCCACCGTCGTCCCAAAAGGTTAAACCATTTGAAAAATCAATACTAGCCCCGTACTCCTGCCTCCTGTTCTTCCCGGAGCTGCTCCACCTGCTAGACCCAAAATTGCCATTC